GAGGCTATTTTTCCTCCAATGTGTGTTTTTGGCATCTTTGTCTAGTATGAGATAATTGTACTTATGTGGGTTTGTCTCTGTGACTTCTATTCTATTCCATTGGTCTTCATGCCTGTTTGGTGCCAATACAATGCTGATTTTGTTACTATAGCTCTGTAGTATAATTTAAGTTCTGTATTGTGATGCCTCCTGCTTCACTTTTCTCACTAAGGATTGCTTTGGTATTCTGGGCCTCTTATTTTTCCTAATGAATTTCATGACTGTTTTTTCTATTTCTATGAAGAATGTCATTGAAATTTTAATGGAAATTGCACTGAGTCTATATAGTGCTTTTAGTAGTAATTTTGGCAATATTAATTCTGTTTATCCAAGAACATGGGAGGTCTTTTAATCTTCTAAGTTCAATTTATTTCTTTAGTGTTCTGTAGTTTTCATTGTAGAGGTAATTGCCTCTTTTGTTAGATTGATTCCCAAGTGGTTTTGGGGTGTTTTTGTGTGTGTGTGGGGGGGGGTATTTTTTTTTTGAGGCTATTATGAATGGGATGATTGTCCTAATTTCTTTTCAGATGATTCATCATCAGAGTATAAGAACACAATTGATTGATGTGTGTTAATTTTGTATCCTGCTATTTTGCTGAATTCATTTATGAGTTCTAGAAGTTTTATGGTGGAGTTTTTGGGGGTCTTCTAAATATAGGATCATGTTATTGGCAAACAGAGATAGTTTGAGTTTCTGGGGATATACCTCAGGTGGTAGAGTGCTTGCCTTGCATGCATAAGGCCCTGGGGTTCAATCCTTAGCACCACAAAAAAATATACAAACAAACAAACAAACAAAAAAACAACAACAACAGAGATAGCTTAAACTCTTCTTTTCCTGTTCACATCCCTTTAATTTCTTTCTTTTGCCTAATGGCTCTGGCTGGAGTTTCAAGGATTATGCTGAATAGAAAGTGAAAAGGTGAAAGTGGGCATTTGTGTCTTATCCCTGTTTTCAGAAGGAAAGCTTTCAGTTTTTCTCTATTTCCAATGATGTTGGCCTTGTGTTTGTCATATATAGCTTTCACAATGTTCTTTGTTTTTTTGTCGAGGTCCTGGGGTGGGGTGGTAACAGGGATTGAACTCAGGGGCACTCAACCACTGAGCCACATCCCCAGCCCTATTTTTGTATTTTTATTTTAGAGACAGGGTCTCACTGAGTTGCTTAGTGCTTTGCATTGCTGAGGCTGGCTTTGAACTCACTATCCTCTTGCCTTTAGCCTCCCGAGCCACTGGGGTTACAGGTGTGTACCACCACCCCTGGCTCACAGTGTTCTTTCTATTCCTATTTTTTTTCTAGTATTTTAAACATAGATGGATGCTGTATTTTGTCAAATGCTTTTTCTGCATCTATTGAGATAAATATATGGTTCTTGTCTTTAAGTAATTTTATGTGATGAATTACATTTATTGATTTCCATATGTGGAAGTATCCTTGCATCCCTGAGATGAATCCTCTCTTATAAATTTCTGTACCCCTCAACCCCTGAAATTGGAGATTTGAGAAAGAAGTTGTTATCCTCCATTATCCACAAAGTAAAACTCATTTCTGCTGAGGGCCATTGCCAAGTAGGAATGAATGGGCTTGCCTTTGGACCCAGGTCATTTGCAGTGACATTGCATGTATGCTTGAATAAGGTGAC